ACAGCGAGTGACCTTAGACAGCGAATGACCTTAGACAGCGAGTGACCTTAGACAGCGATTGACCTTAGGCAGCGAGTGACCTTAGACAGTAGTGACCTTAGCGAGTGACCTTAGACAGCGAGTGACCTTAGACAGCGAATGACCTTAGACAGCGAATGACCTTAGAGAGCGAGTGACCTTAGACAGCGAGTGACCTTAGACAGCGAGTGACCTTAGACAGCGAGTGACCTTAGACAGCGAGTGACCTTAGAAAGCGAGTGACCTTAGACAGCGAGTGACCTTAGACAGCGAGTGACCTTAGACAGCGAGTGACCTTAGACAGCGAGTGACCTTAGACAGCGAGTGACCTTAGACAGCGAGTGGCCTTAGACAGCGAGTGACCTTAGACAGCGAGTGACCTTAGACAGCGAGTGACCTTAGACAGCGAGTGACCTTAGACAGCGAGTGACCTTAGACAGCGAGTGACCTTAGACAGCGAGTGACCTTAGACAGCGAGTGACCGTAGACAGCGAATGACCTTAGAGAGCGAGTGACCTTAGACAGCGAGTGACCTTAGACAGCGAGTGACCTTAGACAGCGAATGACCTTAGACAGCGAGTGACCTTAGACAGCTAGTGACCTTAGACAGCGAGTGACCTTAGACAGCGAGTGACCTTAGACAGCGAGTGACCTTAGACAGCGAGTGACCTTAGACAGCGAGTGACCTTAGACAGCGAGTGACTTTAGACAGCGAGTGACCTTAGACAGCGAGTGACTTTAGACAGCGAGTGACCTTAGACAGCGAGTGACCTTAGACAGCGAGTGACCTTAGACAGCGAGTGACCTTAGACAGCGAGTGACCTTAGACAGCGAGTGACTTTAGACAGCGAGTGACCTTAGACAGCGAGTGACCTTAGACAGCGAGTGACTTTAGACAGCGAGTGACCTTAGACAGCGAGTGACCTTAGACAGCGAGTGACCTTAGACAGCGAGTGACCTTAGACAGCGAGTGACCTTAGACAGCGAGTGACCTTAGACAGCGAATGACCTTAGACAGCGAGTGACCTTAGACAGCTAGTGACCTTAGACAGCGAGTGACCTTAGACAGCGAGTGACCTTAGACAGCGAGTGACCTTAGACAGCGAGTGACCTTAGACAGCGAGTGACCTTAGACAGCGAGTGACTTTAGACAGCGAGTGACCTTAGACAGCGAGTGACTTTAGACAGCGAGTGACCTTAGACAGCGAGTGACCTTAGACAGCGAGTGACCTTAGACAGCGAGTGACCTTAGACAGCGAGTGACCTTAGACAGCGAGTGACTTTAGACAGCGAGTGACCTTAGACAGCGAGTGACCTTAGACAGCGAGTGACTTTAGACAGCGAGTGACCTTAGACAGCGAGTGACCTTAGACAGCGAGTGACCTTAGACAGCGAGTGACCTTAGACAGCGAGTGACCTTAGACAGCGAGTGACTTTAGACAGCGAGTGACCTTAGACAGCGAGTGACTTTAGACAGCGAGTGACCTTAGGCAGCGAGTGACCTTAGACAGTAGTGACCTTAGACAGCGAGTGACCTTAGACAGCGAGTGACCTTAGACAGCGAGTGACTTTAGACAGCGAGTGACCTTAGACAGCGAGTGACCTTAGACAGCGAGTGACTTTAGACAGCGAGTGACCTTAGACAGCGAGTGACCTTAGACAGCGAGTGACCTTAGACAGCGAGTGACCTTAGACAGCGAGTGACCTTAGACAGCGAGTGACCTTAGACCTCGTCACCCATGTAAATGACCTCGTCACGTATATCAGTCTATTTCGCTAAGACAATAATGACTTGCGGAAAGTAAGTCTAAAAAAAAACAATTCGTCCAAAATTAGTTTAATTCCACATTTTGTTCTACATGTTAACCAAGATAAGTCACAAATATCTGTTCACTAATTAATAAAAATAATGACTTTCGTGATTAACCAAGACATTTTTGGGTCTCTCGCCAGTATTTAACCTACATTTTCTTAGATAAACTTTGAATGTTTTTTTTTTTTTTTACAAATCTTATCTTAACTTCAACATGGTCAGTTTTTAATTTTAAAAAAAAACTAGAGTTTGGTTTGTATAGTTCATCAACCAGCAGTTAAAATAGTCGGCACTTGCCTAGCTGCGGCGATGGTGCAAGATGGTGCGTAACTTGGTGCGTAGCAATGTTGGCATAATGTTGTTGTGATGCCTGGATAACCTTTCTTACATCTCAAGACATGATGTTTAGTGTGTACGTAAATATGTTTATGTCTATTACCTATGTTATGTAGTGAAAGAAAGTATACATTTTAAAACTTGAAATAAGTGATTAGGGCATTAATCTACTTATTGGACTGTTGTGAGTACTTTATATTTTAACACGTAATAAACAAATGGTGTTCTGGTATCATTTACCGTTTTTTTTTCGTTAATTTTCAAGTATAATAAGTACAAAGGTCTCATAATTAAGCGTTAGGCGCTCAGTGATGGATATGTAAATATTAACGCTAATCGCTTTTAGTTTATCAAATGATTTAACATGTTAAAATAATCTACGATTCTCTAGTAATTAAAGTATATATATATATATATATATATATATATATATATATATATATATATATATATATATATATATATATATATATATATATATATATATATATATATTTAAATATACGTTTAGTTAATTTAGTTTAGTTCAGTGTATTTCCAAAATTTTATCTATCGACATTTCAGCATAGTACACATTTTCAGCATATAGATTTAGTTAGAAAAAGACTGCATTGGCAATACTGTTGCTGTTTTGAACTTAATTGTTTTGAAGTAGTTTTATTAGAGTTCTCTTTATTTGATGTTTGATTATTTTAGCTACACCAGACTTTTGGGTATTTTGTATAAGATTAACTATAAATATCTGGGATGATCTCAAATTCCACATACCTCAAATAGAATTTGATTACTTGGGTCTGTGCTTTCTGTTAGTCCACCATTGGAATTATATCATCATGGATTTGTAACCCTACGTAAACTCACATGTCATTTCTACCTTGATATTTGCTAATATTTGTCCTGTCATGTCATGTTTGTCATGTCTTGTCCTGTTTTTCCTTAAATGTCCTGTTTTTCCTGTCCTGTTTCTCCAGCTTGGAAACAATAGAAATAATCGGTACTTTGATCCCTGAAAGTATTCTATGTAGCCGATTGTATTCTGTAGTAAACAAATGGCGCTTATAGTTTTACTTCAAATTTTTCCTCATCAAACTTCCGCTGTCACGCCCACATTGTCTTCCTCAGTAAAATAAGAAAAATAAAACATAAAACAACTTTTGATGTAAAATTTGGAGTTGTCTATCCAAGGAAAAGTAGCTGTCCCCAATTACCCAGCCTCATCTGCCGATGTTCGAACTCAGTTTAAAAACCATAAGCTTTACCGACCCTCGGAAAATTGTATACGAAATGAGTGTTGCTATTTTACAACATGCTTCACACAACACAGCCCATTGTCCCTACTTAGATAGAAAGTTGTATAAAGTTGTATGTTGTCGCTTTAACCATGACTATATATAAGTTAATATATCTATATATATATATATATATATATATATATATATATATATATATATATATATATATATATATATATATATATATATATATATATATATATATATATATATATATAAGTTACAAATACAAAAACAAATAAAAATCAAGCTAACTATGACACATCGATTTGTGTACATCGCTCCAATAGGTGTCACATCCTCCTTACATATATCTCAGCGATAACAGTTTTATAATCAGTAATGTATATTTTACCCCACAGTAGAACAATCAAATGACAGTAATGTACATTCTATTTGTATCTAAACAATGACAATATAATGACAGTAATGTACATTGTACAATCTAATGCCAGTAATGTACATTCTACAAGTATCTAAACGATAACAGACTAATGACAGTAATGTACATTCCATATGTATCTAAACAATGACAATATAATGACAGTAATGTACATTCTACAAATATCTAAACAATGACAATCTAATGACAGTAATGTACATTCTACATGTATCTAAATGATGACAATCTAATGACAGTAATGTATATTCTACATATAATGCATGATGACAATCTAATGACAGTAATGTACATGGTACATGTATCTAAATGATGACAATCTAATGACAGTAATGTACATTCTATATGTATCTAAAAGACAACAATCTAATGACAGTAATGTACACTCTACATATATATGCATAATGACAATCTAATGACAGTAATGTATATTCTATATGTATATGCATGATGACAATCTAATGACAGTAATGTATATTCTATATGTATATGCATGATGCCAATCTAATGACAGTAATGTATATTCTACATGTATATGCATGATGACAATCTAATGACAGTAATGTATATTCTACATGTATATGCATGATGACAATCTAATGACAGTAATGTATATTCTACATGTATATGCATGATGACAATCTAATGACAGTAATGTATATTCTACATGTATATGCATGATGACAATCTAATGACAGTAATGTATATTCTACATATATATGCATGATGACAATCTAATGACAGTAATGTACATGGTACAATCTAATGACAGTAATGTATATTCTACATATATATGCATGATGACAATCTAATGACAGTAATGTACATGATGACAATCTAATGACAGTAATGTATATTCTACATGTATCTAAAAGATGCCAATCTAATGACAGTAATGTATATTCTACATATATATGCATGATGACAATCTAATGACAGTAATGTACATGGTACAATCTAATGACAGTAATGTATATTCTACATATATATGCATGATGACAATCTAATGACAGTAATGTACATGATGACAATCTAATGACAGTAATGTATATTCTACATGTATCTAAAAGATGCCAATCTAATGACAGTAATGTACATGGTACAATCTAATGACAGTAATGTACATGGTACTACTCCACAGCAGCAGAATGACAGGCGGGGTGCTAGAGGGAACCAGACAAGAGAGCAGGCTGTTTCTCCCACCCTGCAGGGTGTGTGGGGACAAGGCCGCAGGGTTCCACTACGGCGTCAACACCTGCGAGGCTTGTAAGGTAAGACGTACTCATTAATACATTAATTAACAGGTGATACATCAAGGTAACACGTACTCATTAATACTTTAATTAACCAGTGATACATCAAGGTAAGACGTACTCATCAGTGGCTTCGCTAGGACGTGTGTTACCCTGTGTGCCACTTTGTGGTGTCTCCCCCTCCCCCCCCCCCCCCCAAGAAACAATATATATATATATATATATATATATATATATATATATATATATATATATATATATATATATATATATATATATATATATATATATATATATATGCTCTGTTTATGCCACATACGCATGCATGTATGTGCATAAGCTTTAATCACTGCAGACTTAACAGTAACAATGTTTATCTATTGCCTGTTAATAATACAGTTGGATACAGCATTGTTTTCTCTAAATTTAGCGCGGTTACGTCATGGTCTCACCCCCACCCTCTTGTAATATTAATCGATTTGTAAAGAAAAGACTATGTAGCTTTAATTAATCATTAATAGAACTAGCAAACTAAGGCATTTTTTTCTGCACATTTTGCTATTTTTCGCCCTGGTGTCACCCCCCCCCCCCCTAAATGGTGTCACCCTTTGCGATTCGCACCCCCCGCCCCGCCCTCGCTACAGCAAGGTATGATTTTCTCTTTGATAGATTTATCTGAGGGCGATAAATTGAATTTTCGCTTCAGTCTGTGATTGAAATCAAAATAAAATCATTTACAAAATGGTGAAATGCGAAACCAATGCTTGTTTTAAGATAATTTTTAAAAAATAATTTGAATTGATATTCAACCATATAATTTCTAGGGAGGGGGTGGGGGTAGTGAGGGTGATGTACATTGTCTGCAGCTATCAGTAACACAGTCTAGTAAATGACCTGTAGCTTCAACTCTTAGACAAAAAAAAAAATTAGCATTTCCTAAAATGCTTGTAAAATCCCCTGCTTCTTGGACTAATAAACTTGTTACAGAAAAAACACATAAAATCTGCGGTCACTTCAAAGTGAGCATTATTTCACACACATTAAGTATGTAGCTGTAAGTATTTCATTCTCTTTGTTGTATTTGACACTAACTTCAATGTGGCGAGTTTATATATATATATATATATATATATATATATATATATATATATATATATATATATATATATGTATATATATATATATATATATATATATATATATATATATATATATATATATATATATATATATATATATATATAGGCCTATATATTGTTAACTTTTATGTATATATATATATATATATATATATATATATATATATATATATATATATATATATATATATATATATATATATATATATATATATATATATATATATATATATATATGTATATATATATACATAGGACTATATTTATTGTTAACTTTTTATTTATAGTTTGATAAACTTCGTTCTTGGAGCGGATATTTTCTAGAAAAAAAAACAAGGTTTGGGAAACCAAAGATATCAATTTAGCAAGGGTGAAATATTTGTCTAAGCCGCTGTAATACAAAATATATAGAAAAGATGGCGTCGATAAAACCGTAGGAATTTTAAAAGTTTAAACGTGAAGCCGCATGATTGTATTAGCCAAAGGACGCAGCTATTTCCTTTCGTTCAACTTTAATGCTTAAGAGCTGCATCATTTAACTTTACGTCCTTGCTATTAGTTAAATTTTAAACTTTAATATTTTGACAATTTAAACTTTAAAACTATTGAATGTATTGTTTATTCTGCCAAAGTTTATAGTTCGAAACATTATTTTTGATTTTACATAATTTTTTTTACAATAGTTCGATTTCTAAGTGACTTTGTTATGATGGTTGCCTATTTTAAATTTATATATAATTTGCTAGAAGATTGGGGGCAACGGTCATGGTTTGATATGGTTATGGTTAAAGCGACAACATGCAGCTTTATACAGCTTTCTTTTTAAGTAGGGACAAGGGTCAGTGATGTGTGTAGGATGTTGTAAAATAGCAACACTCATTGTGTATACAATTTTCCGCGAGTCGTCACGTAATTTATTTTCCCACGCTGTTGTAAGTTTCCGTCAGATGACCCTTAGACTGATATGTAAGTTACATTACAAAAACAAATAAAAATCAAGACTTGAAATCGTTCGTGTTATAGTTCACTCCAGCATCGACAATCCACTTTTTATGATTTCCTCCACTTAAACACGTACTTAAAGTTTTTGTTTTACTTTAAGTTAATATCCGTTTTGCAACAAATACCATCCTAATAGCTGTAATAGACGTACTCCACTTAATATAAATCGACGACGTGTTCAAAGATTAATTAGTCATTAATTTTAATTATATCCATCTGCTAGTAGCTAAAATAAAAACGGAAAATATAAGGTCTGCCTAAATTAGTTATTTTTAAAGTGAGTTAACGACAACAGCCGACCGCGAAAATTTGCTGCTTGCGACCTGCGTTCTACAAAACAAGACGAAGTTTTAATTTTTGTATTCGAACTGTGCCCTGTTGTTCACTAATACATTGCTCTACCGCTGTACTTATAGACCATCTATTGTAGATAAGATAAGGTCTAGAGAAGTGTAGTCATCTTTTTGACTTGATCATCTTTGTCTGTTATATGTAGAGAACTTTTGCAAAAAATCACAGAATCCAGTGAACTCTACTTCACTTAACCCATGGACCGCTAGATTTCTAACCCGAAAGTATCGAGTTCGAATCCAGGTTTAAGCCAGTAGTATGTCCTTAAGTACAATCAGCACTGAGGGGTACTTAACTCACGTTAGGGAAAGTAAAGACGGCTGGGCATTGTGCTGACCACGCTATCCCTTCATATGCCGAGGTTACAGAAACTCTACTTGCCTCAATGAACGTCAAGTTCGAAAAGGGAACTTTTTACCAACACTAAAGATTACATATGACATATAGGTTTAAGGGACACCTGTAGCTCTCGCGACAGACAGATAGATAGATGGAAAGATGGAAACATATCAGAGAAATAGACCTGTGTGCACTGTTCAAATGATTAACAAACAGATGCAGGTTCCCACAATTTTGACCAGAAATGTGTTGAACTTGATCAGGCAACACCGTGTTTGTTTAAAACAGCACAAGATTTTAAAAGAAAATTCGCAACCTACTTGGATCTTTCTTATCAACCAATCTTTATGAGATAAACAAGTTCGCGTTTGTTTTTAAAATCTACTTCGGTGGCAACCGCTCTAAAAATGTTGTTAACAGTAGGACTATCTAGCGGGAATTTCTTTTATTTCTGAATAAAAAAAAATGTTTTCAGTTTTTATACGATCAGTTAGCACGAGACTAATAAAATAGGCCTAGAGTATTTTCATAACAACAAGAGTGTCTGACCATACCCATCTGTTGTTAGTTGTATCTTACAGTTGATGTTGTTGAAATATAATCAAACTACTACAAATCAATGTATTAGGATTATACAAATAGTCGTTGTATAGAAAAATCAAATTGTTTAAAATGGGGGCCGTTCCCTCTCACAAAATGCTCAGCAACAAATTTCTCATAAGGTATTTAAACAAGTCAAACAATGCTTTCAAATTATTATTGATTTAAAGCATAGCAACAAATTTCTCAATAGGTATTTAAACAAGTTAAACAATGCTTTCCAATTATTATTGATTTAAAGCATAGCAACAAATTTCTCAATAGGTATTTAAACAAGTTAAACAATGCTTTCCAATTATTATTGATTTAAAGCATAGCAACAAGTTTCTCAATAGGTATTTAAACAAGTTAAACAATGCTTTCCAATTATTAGTGATTTAAAGCATAGCAACAAGTTTCTCAATAGGTATTTAAACAAGTTAAACAATGCTTTCCAATTATTAGTGATTTAAAGCATAGACGTTTCAAAAGAAATAAATGAAGGTTTTCACTACCTAACTAGATTTCATTACTTACGGTTGTCTTCTCAATGTCTAAGTGTTAAGTGTAAACAAAAATTTACAAAAATATATATTGAGTTTTTTGAAAATGGATTTTGTATTATTTACTAGTAATCTTTTATTCAGTGGCGTCACCGGGGTGGGTGTTGCTTGGTGCAGCAGCAACAGAGTTCCCCCTGCAACAGCTTATGCTTTTTCGATTTAGTGTCATCCCTTTATCCAAGGCCGGCGCTACCTATAAGGCGAGATAGGCGGTCGCCTAGGGCGCCATCCCAAGGGGGGGGGGGGGGCAAAATGTTTAATCGTTGTTATCAAAAAGTACCTAATATTTAATAATTTTTACAAAGGAGTAGCGATCTATTTCGGCACCAAGGACGAAATATCAATTTTGCACCCCCACCCCAAAATTAGGTCTATAAAGGGCTATATTCGCGTTGGTGAAAATGCAACCGCACCTCCATAATTTGGAAATGTCGGAGCGCTTTTTACCAGTCACATTGCCTTCTTAATTTGGTGTCATACAAGTGATGTAGAAAACGATTAAATAAGTTCGTAGTTTACATTTCGAACATTTCAAACGGTTATTTAATTTTAATAGGGCTTGTAAGTCTCGTTTTCTCTGAATTTGAATTAGAAATATGTCCTGGTGTATACAGTTTTGTATTGACGGGGTGTTCAAAGTATTGTACTTGTTTTGTACATTTTGATGAATCGTTTAGATTTGGGAGTAACAACGGAAGGCTGTTGCTGATATGGTTTCGTAGGTGTAAAGTATCGAAGTGTTAAAATGTAATAATTTTTATTCGGCTGTTTTGTAGTCTAAGATCTAGTGGAATCTGATTGGTAATAGAGAAAGGAGAATGCAGGTGACGAAGTATCGTAGTTTTGGAGTTCGGGATGATTGATTCTTCTGGTATTAAGGTATCGAATTATATTGACTATTAAAGCGTAGTAGTAGGTCCAGTGAAATCGTTGTTGATTTGGAGTATCGTTTGTAGAGCTTGGTTAAGTTAAGCGAGTTGGTGTCATAGTTCTGGAGCATCAATTCTAGTTATGTTTAGGTATCGAAGTTTGATATGTGTTGTGAATGTAGTAGAGTATATCAAGTAGTCGAGTTTATCGTAAGTTAGATTAATTCAATTCAGTACGGAACCCATGAGAAAGGTAGGCGTTCTCTAGTTGAAAAATCTTTAGTTTTTAAGGAATCTATATTACCACTCTTAAGGTATTAATATATAATATTAAATACGATGGAGTTTATAACTAACTGTAAACTTTTTGTTTTCAAATAATTACTTTTTTAAAAAATATAATCAATATTTTTAGCAATTTCTAAATCAGTTATAAGTGTTCGTTATTTTGAAAGACGTCCCTATATATAGGGAATCTAAAATTTCTATAAGGTTTTAAATACAAGAGCTACAGTTGAAGTAATCATATAAAAATTGAATAGAAGTATGTTATAATAAAGTTACAATTTTAAACTTTCAAACAAAAAATACAGTTATGTATTTAATAAATAAAATATATTACTTTTGCAAGATTACATAGCTAATATAAAAGATTTGTTATTATTATTACGTAAAGTGATTTAGAGCTTTTAACTGTGTTTTTCAAGCATGTCTTTGTTACACTTGGTTTATTTAGCCATTCTTTTGAAAGTTCTTTCCCTTTAATAAAAATTTGGTATTTGGATTTTCAAATGGAAGATAACTCGTTGCTTAACTTTACATTCATTTCAAATTCCTGCACCTTATGTTGACCGCTTACATATAAATACAAATTTAAGTTATTATTTGCTATTGTAAAAATTATACAGAGCAGAATCTCTGAACAAAATAGTTTGGTATGTTTTTTAGCATTATCAAGTTGAAAAACTTGAACATCAGTAGCCGTTGTACTTAATGTTAGTAGACATACAGTCTTAGTCGTAAATTAAACATTTAATAAGTTGTCTTTTCATATTTTTCACCCTCCCCTAAAGGATTCATATATAACAATTTTAGTCTGGAATTTATAACAATTATAACCTTTTATTTTTCAAAAACAAAAAATCGTTACATAATCACACAATATAGACATTTTACAATTATAACTAAAGACAGCCAAGCTGAAAACAGATAAGTTCCGTTTTGGAACTCTCCTTGGGAGGACTGCAGAGAGCCCAACACTACAAGAACTGTTTTTTTCCAGACTTTATTCCCCGGGAGGGGGGGGGGAAGCACTTAAAATTTTCTAAGGAGGGGGGGGGGGGGGCTATGTCGTAAAGTACAAAGTAGACTCGTGGACTTTGCAACAATTTCAATAACAACAATTTCAATAAAATGTGATTACGCTTGTAAACTTTTGCGACAAAGGAGCAGGGGCGTAGCGAGGGGGGGGGGGGCGGGGGTGCGGACCGCACCGGGTGACACCATTTAGGGAGGTGACACCAAGGCAAAAAAATAGCAAAATAAATAGAGAAAAACTCGAGAAGGGTGCAAATCAAAAGTTTGAGGGGGGTGCAAGCGAAAACTTGAGGGGGGGGGGTGCAAATCGAATGTTTGAGGGGAGGGGGAAGCAAATCGAAAATTTGAAAGTTTGTCCCTGGGAAGGGTCTCTATGCCTCTGGGTGGGTGACTACATTAAGTGCCGCACCGGGTGACACCCGACCTCGCTACGCCACTGTGAAGGAGGCAAGTAAAATTTGATTTTGATGTCTACTTATAACGCTTATGCCATTGATAATAAATTAAAATGTCGCTAAATAATCTGGCGCCAGCGCTGCCTTTACCCTAATATTTTATTATTTTAACCGGAAAAAAAGGGTTGCTTCACAGATTTTTAGATTTTATATCACTCCCTGAATGGTGAACCACACCCCCCCCCCCCCATCCAGACCACTGCCTTCATTAAAATACCTAGGTTAATGAATATTTTAAATAATCAGTTACTTTTTTTTAAAAAATTACATGTTTTTGTGAATTCTATAAATTTTAATATCACATTTAAAAAATCCAAACTTAGGGTTTCTTCCATCGGAGCTTACGACGTTACCGAGAGTACAAATGCCGTGCCAACCGGTCTTCCGGCTACTGTGAGTACAAGCCGGGAAAACGGAAGTCGTGTCAGTACTGCCGGTACCAAAAGTGTCTGGACGCCGGCATGTCCAAGGAAGGTGGGCAGTTGGTTAATTAACTAATTAGTTTTTAAAGTAATCAGCAGGTGTAATTATATTTGGACGCTGGCATGTCCAAGGAAGGTGAGCAGTTGGTTAATTAACTAATTAGTTTTTAAAGTAATCAGCAGGTGTAATTATATTTGGACGCTGGCATGTCCAAGGAAGGTGGGCAGTTTTTTAATTAACTAATTAGTGTTTAAAGTAATCAGCAGGTGTAATTATATCTGGACGCTGGCATGTCCAAGGAAGGTGGGCAGTTTTTTAATTAACTAATTAGTGTTTAAAGTAATTAGCAGGTGTAATTATATCTGGACGCTGTTATGTCCAAGGTACGGAAGTATTTTTTTTAATTAACAAATTAAATTATTTTTAAGTAATCAGCAGTTGCAATTATATTTGTACGCGGGGATGTCAAAGGAAGTTGGTTAATTAGCAAATAATTATTTTAAAGTAATCAGCACACTCAGTTGTAGCTTATGTCTGGACGCTGAAATGTCTAAGGAAGGTGAACATTTTAAAAAAGAAACAAATTAGTATTTTAAAGTAATCAAAACACTCAGTTGTAGCTTATGTCTGGACGCTGAAATGTCTAAGAAAGGTGAACATTTTTAAAAAAGAAACAAATTAGTATTTTAAAGTAATCAAAACACTCAGTTGTAGCTTATGTCTGGACGCTGAAATGTCTAAGAAAGGTGAACATTTTTAAAAAAGTAACAAATAATTATTTTAATGTAATCAAAACACTCAGGTTTAATTATATCTGGACGCTGGGATGTTTGAAGAAGGTGGACATTTTTTAATTAACAAATAACTATTTGAAAGTAATCAATAAAGGTGAACATTATTCTAAAATTAACATATTAGTATTTTAAAGTAGTCAGCATTTATAGCTTAAATCTTGACCCTAGGATGTCCAAGGCAGGTGAACATAAGTTTGCTACAATTATTTTTTTAAAAATATTAATTTATTTCATTTTGCGATAAGTGCATGTCACATTGTAATCAATGTCTCTACGGCATTTTTCGCCTTTCGAAAAGGCATTGAGAATTTTAATGATCTATCGCTAACATAAGGACTAGGTTAAACAGAGTAGTATCGCACTTTAAAATCAATGGGTTATGTGGCGTTAGAGAGGAGTTAAAATGTGATATTTAATCTAATTTATATGCGATATAGATCTACATTGTCGTATCAACATCTTCGTCTAACTTGTGAATTTATTATTTGAAAATACTAACTTTTGGTAATCCGCATTTCTTGTGAGTGTTTCTTCCAGACTTTTTTCTCCGGGGGGGGGGGGGGAGGCACTTGAAATTTTCGGGGGGGGGGGGGGGGGGGGGCGGTCAACATTTTTCGGGGAGGGGGGTCGGACACTAGTAAAAGTGTATGTTTCCTATATAAAATCCATCTCGTTCTGGGGGGGGGGGGGCGGAGTCCCCCGAAGAGATGCCTGGAAGAAACTCTGTTTGTAAGTGGCATATATTTACACAAGCAAAAGAAACTTATTTTATAAAATCTCGAAGCGATAAAAACACTTTTTATCAAACAAATCTAAAGATGTGTAACCATAATTCTACGTGTGATTAACGCAAAAACAATGTCAGTGCCAGCCCCTTAATTTCACCAATTTAAAATATTGCAATTAAAATGTTACAAATCAGCCACATTTTTTCTCCAGCCATCAAGACAGGGAGGTACACGTACTTAAAGAGGACAGAAGACACGAAAGAACTGAGGAGACTTCAGGATCTTTCTCTCGCTCTAGGCACTGGTAATGGCATACCCCTTTCTACACCATTTTCTCTTTTACCTACGCTCATTACGTCCTCTCACTCTCTCTTTCTCTCTCCCTCTCAGAGTTTCCCCCGAAGAAAGTCTACCGCCCCCCCCCCCCCGAACGAAATGGAATTTATATACAAAACATACTTTTACTAGTGTCCGCCCCCCGAAAATTTTAGTCCAGCCCCCCCCCCCCCCCCCCGAAAATTTAAAGTGCCCCCCCTCCCCAGAGAAAAAAGTCTGGAAGAAACACTGCTCCCTCTCTCTCCCTCACTTTCTTTTTCTTCCCCCTCTCTCTCTACCCTTTTCCCTCTTAACCCTGCCCACTACCCCCTCCCTTCTCTATTCTTATCTCTCTCCACCCTTTTCCCTCTTACCCCCATCCAATGTCCCCTTCTATTTTCTTCTCTTAGTATCTCTCCAAGTGAGTATAATCCAACCATCAGGGATCATGTTTTCAAGTTGTTCTACTTTTTAAGGGTATATGCGTGACAAAAAAAACACAAAATTTCTTGTTTTTCGTCATGATGGGTTCCTTGCACTTTTGGATACTTTGTCCATTTTTTTTATTAAGAAAATAATAACTTTAAAGAGAAAAATGTTTTTAGGTGTTTAAATTATCATTTTTATGACCCTGTTAATTAAAAAAAATAATGAATTTTTCCCAATCTTACACGCTCTCTATGAAAATTTTAATATTTGTCCTCATATTGTATTTGGCATCATTGTAAAGCTGGATTTCTCATTTATTTGATAATCTTAATTTCTATCATCTCGGAAACACCCAAAGCTTACAATCGGCTTTGCAGTTTACACAGATATGGTATTTTCGTGGCCTACTTTTCGTTACTTTTGGCTGTTTTTCTGGGTTCGAATGTTTTTAATACAATAAAGCCTACTACTTTTTTATTTATTAAACAATCGCAACCATATTTTCAGTAATTGTTCTTCGTGCAAAAATACAACTTTTGTCCCGATGGAATTGTGATGGCTTACATAGAAAAAAAGGCTTTGGTAATTAATATGCAAATTTTAAAAATTTTGAACACTTTTTGAACAATTTTGTAGACTTTGTAAAATTCTTACTAGTAGCTATTTCAAAAGGTTTTTGTGACAAAAGTTTTAATATATACTGAAATATAAGCAATTTAAATTTGATTGCTACAGGTGCATAAATAAAAAAAAGCCTTGGCATTTTTAAAAGTACACAAAAATTCAAAATGGCGGAGGTTTTTTTTGGGTTTCCATGACAACCAAAATTGTTTTCAACTCTTTCTTTTTTTTTTGCTGTTTAATACTTACTTTTATATGCCAAACATGATAAAAGTATTCAAAAGGCTTTAGATATTAAATTGTAAAAAATAGGAAATAACATATCATATCCCCATAAAAAAGAATTATGGGTTAAAAAAATTCTGAATATTTTTAATGCCCACTGATTGAATACATTTTTAACACATTTCAGTTTTGTTTCTAAATCCTCTTACTTGTTTACCATAATCTATCCTATGGAAAAAAAAACGTGAGAATTTTTTTTGTATATGTGTCCTCAGGTGGATTTGATCCAGCATCTTTATCGTTAGGCTCCTCAAGAAGCAGCTCATCATCTTCAGTGGAGGACACAACTGAACTCTACTCCACCTCCTGCAACTCGATAATGGAGGTCGACTCGACTACCCAAGAAGACCTTGACCAAGTGACCTTGAGTAAAGGTGACCCAACCACATCCACAAGTCACATGTCACCGAGTCACTTTTTTAACCTCGATTCCAGAACCAACCAACAGACATCGAGCCTCGCTTTGGAAGACTGGCGCGCTTTTCCAAAAATGAAATCTTCAAGCAGAAACTTGTCTAACTCCCAAACTCTCAAACCCAAAACTTCAATTCCTCATCACGTGATTCGTGCGAACCAATCAAATTTATCTGAAGGTTTTCAAATCAAAATGGGCGACGAAATCAGCTACAACTTGCCGGAAAGCGTGCGAGTGAAACCGAAAGTAGATCCGTACAGTTTAGACGCGGATTCGTCATACGAAAACCAGTTTGTGAATTTCAACAGAACTCCAGCTCGCGACTGCAACCAGACCAGCTACAAACCTCTACGGTATGACCAGCATGGCTACGGCGAGGCGAATCAAGCTAACATCAAACCACTTTCGTTTCAACACGATAATGATTCAGAATGTTGCAGACAATACACTGATCTAACCCCATGTTCGCTGGATTCAGCCTCAAGTTTACAGAGGGAGGTTTATTTTTCCGACCCCCACGGAAATTTCCCGAACTTGTCATTAATTACCGACTCTGCCAAGATCGTATCACTACAACAAAATCCTATTTGTGAACTGACGTCACTCAAACAGGAAACACCTACGTCAGATTACGACGCTGTGCAGAATTCTTACATTTTAAACAGCCAATTACCGTCATCGATCTCACAAGGCATCGCCACGCCTTTCACGTCGCCGGGGCGGGGTCAGGACGAGGGGTCAGGCAGCACGGAGGAGGAGGGTGGGGTCGTGCTCAATATTGACAGCGGGCAGCTGATCAAGGTGGAGAATTCTTGTTCCAGCCCCGCGCACACGCTGTGTGAGTACGATGCACGCGCCACGTCTCCTAGCGGGAGCGAATCGGAGAAATCGATGTATTTAAGAAGGTGAGAAATACAATATATATATATATATATATATATATATATATATATATATATATATATATATATATATATATATATATATATATATATATAAACCTATATAAATATATATAAATATAGGTCTATATATATATATATATATATATATATATATATATATATATATATATATATATATATATATATTTAGGTTTATATTTCTATATTTATTTATTTATTTTATTTATACATACATATATACATATATGTAATTAAACTACTAAATGTTAATAAAACAAAGTATACCCGCGACCAAAACTTAACGAAATAACAAACATGATACATGAATCGATAATTAATTCGACATTGAATGATTAATTTGTTGCACATTTATTAAACTTACTATGCTGCTGTAATTAATCTTGCTTGTAAAATTGAGTATTGACAACGACTAAAAAAAAAGAGTTGGTAATAGTGTTCTGATAACCTCATGTAATTAATTTTTCTATGAAATAAAGATTACAGAATCAGCCATATATAGCGGTGAAAAAAATTGTACAACTTCTTCGGGTCAAATGATTACTGTATATTTTTGTGTAAAAACACACATACACTCACCCACAAACGCGCACATACGCGCGCGCACGGACGCACACACACACAGACACACACAAAACGAACTGGTATACATCCAAACCCCCCCCCCCCCCCTCTCTTCAGACAACAGCACCCACAGAAACTTTCTGCCGTCGAGACCTTGCTGACGTCACCGAGTCCCACCAGCCCACGCAGCACCAAGTCCACCTCCCCGCTCCCCTCCCCCCAGCTTGACGTCACACAATCCAGCCCGGCCGCCAGCCCGGGGACCCACGGGGTGTCGCTGGCGAACGTGCACGAGCTGTTCGTAAACAAAGATGACGTCATTTCCGCCATGGTGGAGTCGCACAACGAGAATGTGGGGGATTTCATGAAGATGTCGAAAGAGGAGATGATCCGGCAACAACAGGCCCATTACGTAAGTTTAATAGAGATCCGGTAACAACAGGCCCATTACGTAAGTTTAATAGAGATCCGGTAACAACAGGCCCATTACGTAAGTTTTATAGACATCCGGTAACAACAGGCCCATTACGTAAGTTTAATAGAGATCCAAGTACAGGCCCATTACGTAAGTTTAAACAGGCCCATTACGTAAGTTTAATAGAGATCCGGTAACAACAGTCCCATTACGTAAGTTTAATAGAGATCCGCTAACAGGCCCATTACGTAAGTTTAATAGAGATCCGGTAACAGCAGGCCCATTACGTAAGTTTTATAGAGATCCGGTAACAACAGGCCCATTACGTAAGTTTAATAGAGATCCGGTAACAACAGGCCCATTACGTAAGTTTAATAGAGATCCGCGGTAACAACAGGCCCATTACGTAAGTTTAATAGAGATCCGGTAACAACAGGCCCATTACGTAAGTTTAATAGAGATCCAAGTACAGGCCCATTACGTAAGTTTAATAGAGATCCGGCAACAACAGGCCCATTACGTAAGTTTAATAGAGATCCGGCAACAACAGGCCCATTACGTAAGTTTAATAGAGATCCGGTAACAACAGGCCCATTACGTAAGTTTAATAGAGATCCGGTAACAACAGGCCCATTACGTAAGTTTAAAAGTTATCTCTCTTTAAAAGAGACACATTTTAACACTCCAATGAAATAAATCCACAAAGATAAATTACATAAAAATAAAATGGAAAACACTTTTTTTTTTAACCTTTCGTTTTTTGTTTTTTTTTTTAATTTTAGATGTTCGAAATCATGTAAAGAATTTGATGTTAATGTTGATTTTAAACCTGACGTTCTATGGGGCAAGTGAAGTAGAGTTCACTTGTTTCTGTGACCTCTCAACACTATGTTCAGCCGCCTTTACTTTCCTTAACGTGAGTTAGGTACCCATCAGAGTTGGGTGGACTCAGGGACAGTCTACAAATCATTTATAAAATCCAACTTTTTTTTTTTTTTAATACTTTTATTTGCAATTAAAACAAGTACATCAACATCAAATGTTTTAACATAATTTTGAACACCAAATGAAAACGAAAGGTTTTGCAAATGTACATAATGAATATTTACATGATGTCATGTATTTGATTATAAAAAATTGCAAAGGATGACAGTAAAATGGGTGAAGGTAAAATGAAAGTGTCAGAAGTCTGGGTGGGGAGAGGAAAGGAAATTTTTCAGAGAGGGTCAATGGGACAGTGAAGCATTTTCTATGTAGGGAAACAACTTAAGTTGACTAGTTGAAAGGGTGTTGTAGTGGTCGCATTGAGTTTTCAAAAGGTTGCAGTGTGAAAGATGAGGGGAAAGAGACAAGATTTAGAACTTTAAATAAGTTCTGGATATTGATGTTGCGGTGGGTGGTGGGGTCGTTGTAACAGTTAAAGGGATTGTGGGGTTATCATGTCTGAGGGTAAAGTGGATAGAGGGGGAGAGAGGAGGGGGTAGATTTTTATTTGTATTTTTATTAATTCAATTGTTTTAAACATTTAAATCAGTAATAATAATATATTTGATAGATTTTACACAGCATCAAAGACATGAACAATGAACATCAATTGCATATATAATAATCAAAGGGAAAAAAAATAAAATGGCATAAGAACTAGATTAAAATAAGGTGTGCTAACTAGGTTTCTCTTCACTGCTTAGTTTAGTGTGCTGCGGAGTCAAAGGTTCACACTGTAGCCACCCATGGACAGAAATAGAAACGACCGTGGGAGAAGTGTCTCTGTAATCACATACTGATCTATCATTCCAAAACTTTCCATGACATAAAATTTTAAAATTGACCCTTGGCAATGAGGGCACGCTACCTTGAAATGTCCGATAAAATCCAACATGGCGAAAAGATTTACGTGAACACTAGAAGTCCAATATGGTTTCAACGGTATCTTCGCTTGTGTTGCAAATGTGTAAAACATAATGATATTGTGTGTATGTTTGCAATTACATAGATTTTTAATACTTCCGACAAAAGCACATCTATGTATGTCATCATTTTTTAAAAAGAACCTTATTTTCTTTATTAATATGTTTTGACAAATAAAAAGGCATGTCATTTTTATTTGATTTTATTTTACCGATCTTATTATGTCTACTAAATAGGTGATTACTTCCCTTGCATAATTTCTCAGCAAGAAAAATCTATATAGAATTTTAAAATAAAATATAGGCAACAATGTATTCAATCTTATGAACACACAAAATTAGCTTAGATAATAGACACTATATGGTCGGAGTAGTCGTGCGATTGATTTCACTACTCTCTTCTTACATATCGAAAGTAGCATGCAGTTAGCTGATTACGTAAATTACATTTTAGTTTTTTTTAAATGTGTTAAAATAATAGTACTTTCATAAAGTGTTTCAGTTTAAACATATAATAAAGATTTAACTAGGGTTTAAAAATAATATAAATTAAAAAACGTTGTAAACATAAATTTAAGATACATTTAGTTCCGTAATACAAATAAACCGGGAGTACTCCCCTAAACTTTCTCGAATATTCTTATATAAAACAACAGGGGATGGGAACTCGGGATATAGACATGATTTTTAATCCATTTTAAATCCTTAAACTTTTTAAAATAGAATAAAATCCCGTGGAAAAAGAATTGCACACCAAGTGAACGAAAAATAAAATGTGTATAATAGTGCGCAATATTATTAATACTTTATAAATTTACATTAGTTTCTTGAGAAATCGGAAATAGCGTAAATTAATACTTCCGGTCAACGGAAATTACTCACAATTTGAAAGAAGGTAGAGAATTAGTTCTTTTACATACATGTGAAATTTCATTCATCTAGCTAAAATAGTACTCAAGTTATAGGCTTTTGAAAAATTCAAAGTAGAAAAAGTACCACTTCCGGTTATCGGAAATCGCTCAAAAGTCGATAAAAAACTACGATTTTGATATAATACTTATATATGAAATTTCATCAACCTAGCTGTAACGGTACTCAAGTTATCGTGTTTACACACACACAGACACACACACATACGGACAAGATTGCAAAACTATGTTTTTCCGACTCAGAAGTTGAGTTAAATATTTAAACATATGATTTTTTTTTCAGATATTATGTTAGGTGAAAAACAAGACATTTAAAAGTCTGAGTCTTATTACTGTATTAAAAGTCTGTCCTTGGTCTGTTTCAGGAAGCATGTAAACTGAAAAACAAGACATTTGGAAGTCTGGAATTTCTTCCAGAGAAGGAATACGACGAGATTTACTCAGTCACCGGTATGGACGTGGATAATCGGTTGGTTTTACATTTGCATTGGGTGGTGGAACTTCGGTGGTGTGCAATCGGTGGTTTTTGCATTAGCTGTATGTCAGTGGAATAACAGTGGGTTTAACATTAGCTGTAGGCTGGTGGTATATCGGTGGTTTTTACATTAGCTGTATGTAGTGAAATATCAGCATTGGCTCTTTGATTTTGACAGTTTTCACCATTTTACACTTCAGTACTTTATCATATAGCCTACGGAGTATATAGGACATTCTTGTATTATGTCTTGTGTTGTTTCTTTCAGACATTTTTTCACTGAGCTTCTTAATAGTGTGGTGAGGAAAAAAGGACGGGGGTGTGGGGAGGGGTTCAGAAATTAAAATAAATTTTCCAAAAAGGGGAGGGTGGAGACGGGCGCTGGTTAAAGTTTATATTTTTAAATGAATCCCGTCTGTATTCCGACACAAGTCACCATCTCAATAGGACTGGTAAGTAGGTCACCAACCAGTTCTACGGCTCAATAAAACCTGCATGAGCCATAGAACTGGTGGGTGACCTACTTACCAGCCCTATTATCACGTGACACAACTGTAATCTTCTATTGGTTGCCTCTCAGGCGTAGGATGATTGACAACTTCCTGCTGAAAATGGAGAGCTGTGTCCGATGTCTGGTGCAGTTCGCCAAATCTATCCCAGGGTTCACAAACCTGGATCTCAACACGCAAGTAGACCTCATCAAATGTAAGCCTACGTTGGGTATTTTATTAAAGGAGGAAGTGGCGGGATGGGGGGGGGCAGAGGCGTAGCGACCCTTCCCGAGGCCCGGGGACAAACTTTCGATTTGCACCCCCTCGATATTTCAATTTGTTTTTCCAACCCATTTTGGCGCCCCACTAAGGTCGGCGCCCGGGGACATATATCTCCCCCGGGGGAGGGGGGGTGTTTTTATTTAAAAATAGGTAATGGAGAAATTTAGACTTTAAATGTGTCCGCTGATTATTTAAGACACTGGTTTTATAATGTATTGTTGCAAATATATTTAATTAGTTGTAAGAGTGTTTTACTTTTCTTTAACAGTTAAAGTTCATGTAGCGTTACCTTTTCTTAAACTACGTACCCTATTAGCGGCTCGCCGTGGAGCCATAAACGTATTAATTTATTTATTATTTTACCACTCCATGTCTAGAGAATTGCTAGATATAATCTATTTCCCCCTTCCCCAATATTAGTGAATTTCCTACAGTCAGTGTTTCTTCCAGACTTTTTTCTCCGAGGGGGGGGGGGGCACTTGATATTTCCGGGGGGGGGGCTGGCGGACAGTAGTAAAAGTGTATGTTTACTATATAATTTCCATCTCGTTCGGGGGGGGGGGGGGGGGGGGGCGGTAGACTATCTTCGGGGGGAGATGCCTGGAAGAAACTCTGCCTAGAGTAATCCTCCTTGTTTTATCTTCCTTTTTCAAATTTTGCGCTAAGCTAGTTAGAGTTACCCTCCATGTTTTACCTCCCCTTGGCAGCATCACGATCAGAGTTTGCGATGCTGACCACCTACCGGACAGTCAACCTACAGCTCGGCGTCAGCCTCGGTCTGTGTGGGCTCTGGACCTGCACGTACGATGTTGGGAGAATCGGTTCTCACGTAGCAATATCTGAGTACATGAAGTGAGTCTTTTTTTTTACTTTCTCGTATATAAGAAGTATAGATAAAGTCTTGTAATCGTGCAAAAAAAAAAAATCGAGATTTTTGCAAATCGCGACGTTTTACACCTCACTGATACGGAAAAACGTAATTTTGCAATCTTGTCCTATGTCTGTGTGTCTGTGTGTGTCTGTCTGTCTGTGTGTATATAAACACGATAACTTGAGTACCGTTACAGCTAGGTTGATGAAATTTCTTATATAGGTATTTTATCAAAATCGTAGATCCGTATCAACTTTTGAGCGATGTCCCATAACCGGAAGTGGTACTTTTTCTATTTTGAATTTTTCAAAAGCCTATAACTTGAGTACTATTTCAGATAGATAAATGAAATTTCACATGTATGTAAAAGATCTAATTCTCTACCTTCTGTTAAATTTTGAGTAATTTCCGTTGACCGGAAGTAGTAATTTACGCTACTTCCGATTTCTCAAAAAACTAATGTAAATTTTTAAAGTACTAATAATATTGCGAACTATTATGCACTTTTTTATTTGGCGTTCACTTGGTGTGCAATTAATTTGTCTACGAGATTTTATTCTATTTTTAAAACTTTAAGTATTTAAAATGGATTAAAAAATCAAGTCTATTGCCCGAGTTCCCATCCCCTGTTATTTTATATAAGAATATTCGAGAAAGTTTAGGGGAGATCACTACCGGTTTATTTTATCTGGGTACATGAAGTGAGTCTTTTTATCTGAGTACACGAAGTGAGTCTTTTTTTAATCTGAGTACATGAATTCTTTTTTTAGCGCAATTTCCATTCTGGAGAATTGCGTTTATTAACTCGTCATTTCTGGGAATGGATGGATGAATAAATGTATGGATGTATGTGTGTCCGCAGTTTTAAGTCGTATCTCCTCCTCAACGAAGCAATATCGAGGACTAGTTCCAAAAGCAAATATGTTAAGCAAGTTACGAGGATGAACATAGGCCAAAAAATTCCGGGTTTCTTTCATGGATTTCCCGGAAAAGCCAAAAAACCTCGAAAAAAAGCAGTTTTTGGCCCATATCTCGGCAACCAGACCACTTAGCGACTTGAAACATGTACCAATCGATTCCTGCCATAAGTTAGAACAATATTGCCGAAGAAAGTTTTCAAAAATATCCTTTCGGACGGTCACAAAAAATTGTTTGAATTAATTAAAATTTGGACCCAATTAGTAGGCATTTTATGCAACCACACCACACGCGTCATCACGTTCAATAGCTGCGCCATCACGTTCAATGGCTGCGACATCACGTTCGGTAGCTGGGCGCGCAATGGTTTTTAGTCATGTTACTCTATTGTAAATAAAACATGTAAAATACTGAAAAAAAAATTAATAAAAAACGTTTTAATAACTAACCAATGGTTTTACTAACCCTGCTCTCGATTTACGCTACGACAGAGCTATTTTTAGATAACATAAGGAAATTGCGCTAAAATTGTCACTAGACTTTTTTTAATTACTTGTTTATTTGAGTAGGCTACTTGAAGTGGGTCTTTTATGAATGGATTTATCGTTTTGGTGTATTTAGACTTAAACCCTTTTATTTTAAATTCATTTACCTATTTCTAATCAAACACCATAATGTTGACAAAAAATGTTAGTGGCTCTTTAAAAACTGCGATTTATTGTAAACTAGGCATACTGCCTAGCTTCGCTTAGGTTTTTAAAAGGCATTTGAGAATTTGAATACTTAATTATTTAGCGATGGATTGGGTGTGGAGTGCTTTAATAAGTTTAATAAGTTTAATTTAAACAGTAATGCTAACTTTAGAAAAAATGTTTTTGTTGGTCATTTAAATGCAGATTCGCAGCGAATTTTTGGAAAGTACGCAATCTATAACTAAAATGGAATTAGAACTACACAGGTTTCATGAACAGTATATCTCATAGTTTATATTACATTGCCTTTTGAAATTAATTAATTAATTTAATTAACATACTTAACTAAATTAACAACTTAATTTTGTACTAAATCAAATGCTATACTTCGTCATTTTCTGTTTCTGTTTAAAATAGTATACAATTATTTGAAAAATAATAATTTTAAAAACGTTATCTCCCTTGAAAACTGAACGTATGACGTATGTCATTGTTTACTTATATTGTTTGCTTATATAAGAAATTACGTTATATGAACTTATTTAACGACTATAATGGCTGTTTCCGACGGGAATAAAGTTTTTTTGTTACCCTCCATGGTCGGTCTACGACGTCACATAATATTAAAGGGAATCGTTCGTCAATTTATATATATATATATATATATATATATATATATATATATATATATATATATATATATATATATATATATATATATATCTCATATAAGGAGAATTTCACTCAAGATCATCTTTTAGCCCTCGTCGAGGGCTTTGAGTCTGACCAACAGTTTTTCCATACGGCCTAGTCATCTATAGTAGTGTATGCAAAAACTTAGCATGATGTACAGACATTAAGTAACCTAAAAATTGTGTTAAAATTTCCCTGTTTTTCCCATAAAATACAAAGATTATATAGGGAAATACAACTGGTCAGTTTTGACCGCTTTACGAAGTTTTCCCAGAATTGCCGAGTTTTTTATGAAACCCCTAGGTGTTCTTCTACCACCTCACAAAATATCAAGGGGGGTCGTCGGAGGAAATTTTTTTTCGTAATAGAGCTCATATAAAGAGAATTTCACTCGCGGTCACTTTTTAGCCCTCTTCGAGGGCTTTGAGTGCAACCGACAGTTTTCCCTAAAGGTCAAGCCATTGACCTAGGAACATGCAAAAAAATAGCCAGATATACTGAGCTTAAGTACCCTAAAGTCTGCGTTGAAATGACCCTCTGTTTTTCCCATAAAATACAAAGATTATATAGGGAAATACAACTGGTCAGTTTTGACCCCTTTACGAAGTTTTCCCAGATATGCCGAGTTTTTTGTGACACCCTAAGGCGTTCTCCTACCACCTCACAAAATATCAAGGGGGGTCGTCGGAGGAAATTTTTTTTCGTAATAGAGCTCATATAAAGAGAATTTCACTCGCGGTCACTTTTTAGCCCTCGTCGAGTGCTTTGAGTCAAACCGACAGGTCCGCCCTACGGTCAAGCCATTTACCTATAAGCATGCCAAAACTTAGCCAGATGTAAATAGGGTAAGTGCCCTAAAATCCGTTTTGAAATGACCCTCTGTTTTCCCCATAAAATACAAAGATTATATAGGGAAATACGACTGGTCAGTTTTGACCCATTTCCCGATTTTTCCCGGACATGGCGAGTTTTTTGTGACACCCCAAGGCGTTCTCCTACCACCTCACAAAATATCAAGGGGGGTCGTCGGAGGAAATTTTTTTTCGTAATAGAGCTCATATAAAGAGAATTTCACTCGCGGTCACTTTTTAGCCCTCGTCGAGGGCTTTGAGTAAGACCGACAGGTCAGCCCTACGCTCAAGCCATTTACCTATAAACATGTCAAAAATTAGCCAGATGTAAACAGGGTAAGTGCCCTAAAATCCGTTTTGAAATGACCCTCTGTTTTTCCCATAAAATACAAAGATTATATAGGGAAATACGACTGGTCAGTTTTGACCCATTTCCAGAATTTTCCCGGACATGGCGAGTTTTTTGTGACACCCCAAGGCGTTCTCCTACCACCTCACAAAATTTCAAGGGGGGTCGTCGGAGGAAATTTTTTTTCGTAATATAGCCCATATAAGGCGCCGGTCAGCCGAGGTCAGTTTTGACCCCTTCTCCGTAGACTTTTCGGCCAACCGTCACCGGCCTTCGTGTTCTATTGCCCGAAGGCACCATCGTGCCAAATTTGACGCGCTTGCGGCGCCGGAAAGTGCCCTATCGGGCACTTGACCACTTTGCTTTATATATATAGACGAGAAAAATGGCCCGTTGAGGAAGGATACAACGGGCGCTAGGCTGATAGTGCTGTCTCTTTTCTCTAAACTAAAACCAACCCATCCCCCACACACACCACCCCCCACCCCCACCCCCCACCCCACACACCCAACCCCCACCCCACCCCCACCCCCCAAAAAACATGTCTACCGTCCCATTCAACGAAATATAATTATATACTTTTTCCAGTGTCCGCCCCCTCCCCGAAAATTCTACCCCCGCCCCCGAAAATTTCAAGTACCCCCACCCCTCTCCGGGGAGGAAAAAGTCAGAAAGAAACACTGGTGTCGCGCTTAGCTACTACGCGAAGAATTGCATTAAAGAAATTGCGAGAAAACCACTTTTTAGATTAGACACAATAATTAGGCGGTAATTTTATTATAGAGTATCGATGAGGAAACCACCCCACCCCACCCCCCCCCCCACATAAACCACCCCCACCCCCACCACCCACTCCCAAAAAAAAACATGTCTACCGTCTCATTCAACGAAATATAATTATATACTTTTTCCAGTGTCCGCCTCCCTCCGCGAAAATTCTACCCCCGCCCCCTAAAATTTCAATTACCCCCACCCCTCTCCGGGGAGGAAAAAGTCTGAAAGAAACACTGATGTCGCGCTTAGCCACTACCCGAAGAATTGCATTAAAGAAATTGCAAGATTAGACACATTAATTAGGCGGTAATTTTATTATAGAGTATCGATGAAGAAATTTCTTTTGAGATGGGGAGGGGGGGGGGCTCAGACGTTCTTACGCGGGGGGTGGGGCTTCGCCCCTACCCGAAGAATTATATGCAAGAAACTCTTCACGCAAACCATTTAGATTAGACAAAATTTCCTTTTTTTCAATGTTTACGCGAGAATCAATGACGTCATATTACTGTGTGCACTCTCTGGTTTGAGATTATGTTCTACTCTGTGCTAAATGTGTCGACGTCATATTTCGTTTTCGTTTTACTGTGAAGGTTTTTAATTTCCTTGTCTTTTCTCTAGAGCGTTCTTGTCAGACAGATAGATAGATAGATAGACAGACAGACAGCGAAACTATTAGTATTAATTGTATCTTTTGGTTCTTCCGTCTCAAAGGGTTACTGACCCCTGTCTTAGATGTTTTGTTGCTTAGATATGGCCGGGGGCGTACTGGTGTGCTTCTTTCTATACATATTATAAAGGGTCAATTATCTTTTTTTTTTTTTGGTTAATCTTAACAAAATTAAGTTTAAGAACGAATAACTACCAGAGACTTATAAAATTTGAAACTTCTTATTAAATTTTTTATTTGGTACAGCTAGCAGTTTACCGTTTTTTATTAAAGTCAAATATTAATGCGATATTTTTACCTACAAAACGTTTGACATAAAACTCCTATCAAACTTTTAATTAAAATGTTTTTGTAATTGACAAATAATTATTTCATGGTGAATTTATTTATATTTTTATTGACTTAAAGAAATATAATTAACCGTTTTTCTCTTGATAAATTTGATTATCTTAATGGGAAGTAACCAAAACATTTTAATATTAAGGTTTAAACTTTTGTACATTTTTCAACAAATAATATTATTTAATGAATATTACACTTAAATAAATATTAATTTACTAAAAATCTGCGTATTTTATGTTGTAAAGTTCTGTTAAAGTTTTTTGGCCTCACCCCCTCCCCCACCCCCAGCACTAGTCCACGCCTCCACTGGGCGGTTGTCTATGACTTCCAATATGGAAACTACATCTTTATGCAAAGTGAAGTTTCTCTTAGTATGAGTACACAGAATCAGAGCATTTATGAATTTGTATGAGTGCAATAGGTATCTCAATTTAAAGAAGTAATTACTAAGGTAATTACTCCCTTATCACACATAATTGCTGAACTTTTATTCATTGAATGATTTGGTACCCACTATTTCAATCTACATAGATTTTCTCTATTATGGGATTCTTTTCTTATTAATAAAAATAAGTTAGTACGATAAAAACCCATTTCAACCTAAAAGTTATAATTGATATGTGAATGTACAAAGATTACAATGTTATCCAAGTGGCTCCAAAAACTTTATCCTAAGTTTAAAAAAAAAAACAAAAAACTTTTGATTCCACAGATTCTCCGACTCGCTACAAAAGTTAGATCCGAGCCACGAGGAAGTTGTGCTGCTTAAGGCTATCATTGTCATGTCTACAGGTAGGTTCATGTATGCTTGTCTCTTGTCTACAGGTAAGTTCGTGTCTCTTGTCTACAGGTAAGTTCTCGTCTCTTGTCTACAGGTAAGTTCTCGTCTCTTGTCTACAGGTAGGTTCTTGTCTACAGGTATGTTCTTGTCTCTTGTCTACAGGTAGGTTCATGTATGCTTGTAACTTGTGTACAGGTAGGTTCATGTCTCTTGTCTACAGGTAGGTTCTTGTCTCTTGTCTACAGGTAGGTTCTTGTCTACAGGTATGTTCTTGTCTCTTGTCTACAGGTAGGTTCATGTATGCTTGTAACTTGTGTACAGGTAGGTTCATGTCTCTTGTGTACAGGTAGGTTCATGTCTCTTGTCTACAGGTAGGTTCTTGTCTACAGGTAGGTTCTTGTCTCTTGTCTACAGGTATGTTCTTGTCTCTTGTCTACAGGTAAGTTCTTGTCTCTTGTCTACAGGTAAGTTCTTGTCTCTTGTCTACAGGTAGGTTCTTGTCTACAGGTATGTTCTTGTCTCTTGTCTACAGGTAGGTTCATGTATGCTTGTAACTTGTGTACAGGTAGGTTCATGTCTCTTGTGTACAGGTAGGTTCATGTCTCTTGTCTACAGGTAGGTTCTTGTCTACAGGTATGTTCTTGTCTCTTGTCTACAGGTATGTTCTTGTATCTTGTGTACAGGTAGGTTCTTGTCTCTTGTCTACAGGTAGGTTCTTGTCTACAGGTATGTTCTTGTCTCTTGTCTACAGGTATGTTCTTGTCTCTTGTCTACAGGTAAGTTCTTGTATCTTGTGTACAGGTAGGTTCTTGTCTCTTGTCTACAGGTAAGTTCTTGTCTCTTGTCTACAGGTAGGTTCTTGTCTCTTGTCTACAGGTAAGTTCTTGTCTCTTGTCTACAGGTAAGTTCTTGTCTCTTGTGTACATGTAGGTTCTTGTCTCTTGTCTACAGGTAAGTTCTTGTCTCTTGTCTACAGGTAAGTTCTTGTCTACAGGTATGTTCTTGTCTCTTGTCTACAGGTATGTTCTTGTCTCTTGTGTACAGGTAGGTTCTTGTCTCTTTTATACAGGTAGGTTCTTGTCTCTTGTCTACAGGTAAGTTCTTGTCTCTTGTCTACAGGTAAGTTCTTGTCTCTTGTATACAGGTAAGTTCTTGTCTCTTGTCTACAGGTAAGTTCTTGTCTCTTGTCTACAGGTAGGTTCTTGTCTCTTGTCTACAGGTAGGTTCTTGTCTCTTGTCTACAGGTAGGTTCATGTGTCTTGTGTACAGGTAGGTTCTTATCTATAAGTAATTTTATGTGTTTTGGTCTAAAGTTAGGAAGTTTATATCTATAGGTAGTTTTTGTGTCTTTTGTCCACATGCAGGTTCTTGTCAGGTGTCCTCTTTTCTTACAACTCCCCAAAATATTCCTGTCCTTTATATATATATATATATATATATATATATATATATATATATATATAATTCTCTTCTTGGAGACGCTAGAAAACAAGTTGTAAGCGCGCTCCCTACCACCCCACCCCTACTTGTTCTGGTGAGCTTTGGTTCACGCTAAATGTTTACAATCGTAGAGCCGGGTTTAGTGACGGATACTAGGGGCAGATAATTTAGTTTGAAACGATTTTAAACTTAGGAAAGGTAACTAAGAGGAGACTGCTTTCACGGAGGGGGGGGGGGATGTGTAGGGTGGGGGTTGGTGGAAAGGAGGGTGGGGGTAGTATCGTCCTTAACGACCTACTGATAGTGTTTTAAAGCAAATATTTTCAGTGGCAGCATTGGTACTGTCGAATTCACAAATTATGAATGACTGAAAAGTAGAAAATAAAACAACTAAAGAGCAGCGTATGATATGCCGCGGGTCGGCTCGTTATATTATAAATAATATATTTCAAGTCAATGTTTAGTCTAGTAGATACAAATTTAAGAATACCAAAACCTTATGTAAGTGCAAGCAATTTAAACAAAATTTTCTTTATTCCGTCTAGACACTGTAGGCCTACACAGCTCCAATATAAAACTGTAGTAAATTTCTTTCTAGAGTTATTTGCTTTGTTGTGTCCCCTTAACTTTTTAGAAAGAAATTCATTAACGGCATTCATTTCATTGCAGATCGTGAAGGCACTATTCAGTCCCCCTTGGCCGATGCCATTCGCTGGGAACTTTGTGAGTGCCTCCTGCATGTGCTACAAAATCGTCTCGAGAATCCATCCAAACAATTGGCCAGGTATGTGTCGGCTGGTGTGGTGAAATTTAAAATTCAACATTTGCCGAAACGGACAACGTTTATTTGTGTGTTATAAACGTTCGTTGTATAGGCAAATATATTGGTTTGGTTGATCTGACACTATCATAATCGCCTTTTCTCGTCAGTGACCTAAGACACGAGGACAGGTGAAGTAGAGTTTATCTGTTTCAATGATCTTGATATATAATCTGCTCAGTATTATGCCCAGCCGCCATAGATTTTCGTAACGTGAGTAGGTACACATCAGAGCTGGGTGTACTCAGGGACCGAACTTGAGACTTTTGGGTCAGCAGCATTGTGACCACGCCATCCCATAATTATCTATAATTTATTCTTTAAAAAAATGTTTGCCCTGCGCTGTGCCATCAGGGTTAATTTATTGGAAAAAAAAACATTGCGATTTGGTAGAGAAGAAGAAAGGATTTCTATTTTTATTTTAAAATTTCAAATAGTCAAATCAAAGAATAGCACGTATTATAATTATTTGATAATACATAAAGCATTTAACTAAAGCATAAGAGGACTTATATTATACTGTTGGCAGAGCAGCTCAAAACTATATGTGGTATTCTTTAAATTACAAATATATTTCTAACATATTCGAACATACCTATAACCTATTGTAACATGTTTCTAACGCTAATCTAACATGTCTCTAATGCTAACCTAACGGATTATTTGTATGAATTTTAAATTTAATTATAATATTTTTATATTTTAAAACTTCTAAATAAATTTAGTATTTTGTTTCAATTTTAGAATTAATTAATCTCGTTTTTTTAATTTGCAGGTATATTCTGGCATTGACCCAGGTCCGGACGGTGTCCGAGGACTTCAAAGGTTTCCTGAAGTCCCTGAAGCTGGACAAGTACTCAACCATCGAGCAGAACCCTCTGATGTACGAGGTGTACTCACCCATCCTGCACGCGCACGACGGGCAGGACGGTGTTCACGAGGCTACACAGGAAAACGTGGCTGAGAAAGAAACCTACGCTTCGAGTTTCCTCGGCTGTGCCATCTCTGGCCAAAGCTAACCTAAACTCTAACCTGGCTTTAAGTTAATCAGGTTAGGAAAAATCTAAATGTGAACATGCACAAAATATCCGAAGTCCAACAGGAAGCTTTCTTTTCAGATTTTTATTAACTTCTTTATTCCCCTTTAAAAGAGTTACATTCCCTTGCTTCGTGTAGGCGTTATGCTTGCCAACAAAGCTCGCTGCAGTTTAAATGTATTGTTTAAAAAATGTTTAAGTATTAAAAGAGATTTCCCCGCTAACTATTCGCTACTCACGGTAGCTAACTCCTGCTATCTAGTTTGTTAATTTTAAAACGGAGTTATTTTCCATGAATTTACTTTAGTCGTTTCATTTTGTTTGTGTGAATGTATCTAAAATAAATCTGTCTTTCTATCTAGCTTTAGGGGTCGTCCATAAATGACGTCACACTCATAAGGGGGAGGGGGTCCGGAATTTTGTGACGGTGTGTGATGAGGGGGAGAGGGGGCGGGGGTTCAGATGGTGCGACGTCACACTTTTGCATTATAAAAAGCAATGTTAGAAAACGAATTTTAGACGTTATTTCGTGTTTTAGAAAACTGTTTTAATAAATTGTAATAGGAATCGATTAAAATACTCTATTTTGACAGAGTTCAGACAAGATTTTGGAAAAATATCGATGTTTAAAAAAAAATTGCAATTTTGAGGGGTGTTGTAGGCTTAAGTGTGACGTCATTTTAGGGGGGGGGGTCTGGCTTTTTGTGACGATGTGTGATGGAGGGTAGGGGGGGGGGAGATAAAAAAAAGTAAAAAAGCGTGACGTCATTTATGGATGTCCCTTAGCGTTCTGAATATTATTTATATTAATAAGTATAGTTATGCGTTCTAAAGTGTGAAATTGAAATTGTCCAATTTAATTTTTTTTCTCTCTTTTGATTGGTGTTGGAAGCCACACGATCTGTTTCTATTTTTGTCAAATACTGAAAGTTAAATGCTGTACCATTTGGTTCTATATAGTTAGCTTTATGATTTGGCTCAGAATGCTTCAAGGCTGTATGATTTAGCTCAGGATGCTACACACAGTGTTTCTTCCAGACTTTTTTCTCCGGGGGGGCACTTGAAATCTTCGGGGGGGCGGTAAACTTTCTTCGGGGGGGCGGACACTGTTAAAAGTATATATTTTCTATATAAATTATATAAATTTCATTTCGTTCGGGGGGGCGGTAAAAAATTTTCGGGGGGGCTTCGCCCCCCCGAAGAGATGCCTGGAAGAAACTCTGGCTACACAGATGTATGATTTGGTCTATATACATGAGCTGTTTGACGTAGCTTGGAATATTTAGAAGCCGTATGACTTGGCTTTCTATATTTAGAAGCTGTATGACTTAGCTTTTTAAAGCTTAGAATTCGTGTGAACTGGTTCTCTAAACTTATAAGCTGCATGACTTAGCTATCTATATTAAGAAGCTGTATGACTTGGCTATCTATATTTAGAAGGTGTATAACTTGGCTATCTATATTTAGAAGGTGTATAACTTGGCTATCTATATTTAGAAACTGTATGGCTTGGTTATCTATACTAACAAGCTATATGATTTGGTTACCTATATTCAATGTGACGAAGTGGCCTAGCGGTAGAGACTGCTAACTCGAAAGTATCGAGTTCGAATAAAGTCCACCCAGCTCTGATGGGTACCCAACTCACTTTATAGAAAGTAAAGGCGGCTCGTCGATGTACTAACCACACTATTCAAGCATCAACCGATGTCACAGAAACAGATGAACTCTACTTCACTTGTCCCGTAGACCGTCATGTTCGGAAGGGGAAATTTACTTTTATATTTAACCTATATTCAGAAGCTGTATGACTTGGTTATCATCTATACTTACTAGCAATATGACTTGATTATCTATATATAGATGCTTTATGACCTGGTTATCTATATTAAGAAACTGAATGACTTGGTTATCTATACTTAGAAGTTGCATGAATTGGATTTTAAGGCTTACAACATGTAAAACGTGTCATGAAAAGATGGATGAACCACAGCTAGCTTCTAAAAAAGGACTTAACATTCCCAGCTTTTTTAAAAGATTTAATTAACATGTTCATTAATTTGTTTTTTTAACTCTTGTCACCTTACATTTTATTCAAAATAAACTAAAATATAATTCTAGACTTATGTCAAAAATAGCCTTTGTGTAATAACTTAACAGTTAATTTAAGAACGAAATACGTATACAGCAGTTTTATAGTATGACATATTTGGAGGTAAGAAATACATATATATATATATATATATATATATATATATATATATATATATATATATATATATATATATATATATATATATATATATATATATATATATATATATATATATATGTGTGTATGTATCTCCCACATAATTATTCAGTAGTCAAATTGTTAGTAATAGTTGCCAAAATATCTATCAAACCAAACAGTATGAGATTCTATTCATGTTTTAAATCTGTATCTTTTATTATTTATTCTGCCTCACCTTGTTGCCTATGTGTTCACTTCATAAAATAAAATTTGCTAATCAAATATTAGCCTCAGTTATTTTATTTTGTTTGAATGAAAGATTCGCTTTATTTTTTTATTTTTTTAAATAGGCTGCTAATATTTTAAATGGATACACTGTTTAAATAAACTGGTTGAAAATAAAAATAATGTGTGTGCAAAAATTGACGTTTTGAGTTAGATAGTGAGGCATCAAAATCTTAGCTATATCAGTGTAACTTCAGATTTATTCTGAGAAAATAGAATTTGTGATTTATTTTCTTCTTAACTAATTTTAGAATTTTATTAAAACTATTAAATGATAAATTTTAGATTATAAATTTTAGAAGAAACGTTTGCAGGATACTGTAATTGTAACTTTATTAAAAAGAAACAATAGTGTTGTTTTAATTAGTGTTTGTCTTTGATTACTAAATGTCTAGACGGTCACTAAAGTGTAGTTAATAAATGACAATAGTTATTTTTTCCTATTCTGAAATACTTAAAGCCCCATCATCGTTGAAGTTTATTAAAATTTATAACTTAACGTCCATACAACATTACAACACACCAAACCATATTAATGAAAATGATTACATATTGACAAATGGTGAATTATTAGAGGTATTACAATAAATTTTCAAAAGAACATAATTTCAGTACAGTAATTTCGTGAATAAAATGTTAAGTTAGCTAAAATGGAACAACAAATATTATACAAATGTAAATAATTCGTGTAATCATTATTGTTTACACCTGAAATTTATTTTGAAACCAACACATTCGCTAGAATTTTATCAATTTTAAATCACCTCTCCTACGGCAGTTATGTCGCTTTATTTGGCGTGGTTCTATGTAAAGATGCATTATAGATTCTCTTGGATTTTATTTCCGACAATTGAGAGGCAGAATTGTTTTTTATAATGGCAGGTGTCAAAACATCTTTAGAAGATCTTTTAGCTGGCCGTGTCACCTCCTATATATATATATATATATATATATATATATATATATATATATATATATATATATATATATATATATATATATGCCTGTATAAAACTGTTTAAAAAACGATTACTTATCTTTCAATCATCATATAATATTTAAAAGAGAGTGTAGGCCTACGCATCTGTACATACCAAAAATTCTTGAATCACTATTTGCTTGGAGACTACTTTAGTTGCCTTTTCATCTGCCGAGTTGTAAAAATGTATAGTCAAACACACACATACACACACAAACACACACACACAAACACACACACAAACACACACAGACACACTCACCCACACACACACACACAAATAGTCATGTGTTGATCTGCAACAAGATCTCCTAACCCTCCCCCTCACCATACTCGATTTTCGCTTTACTTTAACGCCAGAAACGGATTCCAGGTATACTCTACTTTACCTGCTCCGTGGCTGAACAGATGGTAGACCAGGGTCAGGTTAAGCACGAGGAACAGCGAGCAGAAGATGGAGAGCCTGAAGAAAGGCCGCGAGTCGGGTGGCGAGGTCTGGGTCCACCTGTGGACGAGGGCAGAGCAATCTACCAGAGGCGTATCGAAGGGGTGGGGGTGGGGCGGGGGGGGGGTACATTTGTCCCCAGGCGCCGACCCTAGGGGCGCCAAAATGGGTTTGGAAAAAAAATAAAAGCTCATTTTGGCTGCAGTTTTGAATTATAAACATAAAAAATATATGGGGGAGGGGGAAGGGCGCCAAATTGAAAGTTTGTCCATGGCGCGAGGAGGTGTCGCTACGCCTCTGCAAAGTACGCACATATATTGGCACGGTGGTGTTTAAGCGTCAACACAACTTGAGTACAATGTATCGCATGTGGTGCCGTATTGTATCAGGTTTTCAGTCGATGAGCAAACTTGAGTTCCGATCTCACTACCTCTATGGAGTGGCTGTACAGCAACATCCTCTATTTCCTCTATACTTCGTATGCGAGAAAGTAAAAATATGATGATACAGCAACGTTTAATATACTTGTTATAGGCGATTGTTGTGCAGTTTGCCATAATTATGCCCAGGGTTCTTTGCTTTTTTAGAAACTCGTGAGGTTGAATACCCCACCAACTCATCCTGGATATGCCGTTGGGGATTCACAGTATAAAATCTATATAAATAATTCTCTTCTTGGAGACGCTAGAAAACAAGCTGTAAGCGCGCACCCTACCACCCACCCCTACATGGTCTGGTGAGCTTTGGTTCACGCTAAATGTTTACAATCGGAGAGCCGGGTTTAGTGACGGTTACGAGGGGCTGCTTTCACGGGGGGGGGGGGGGGGGGTTAGGGTAGGGGTTGGGGGAAAGGAGGGTGGGTATAGTATCGTCCTTAACGACCTACTGATAGTGTTTTAAAGCAAATATTTTCAGTGGCAGCATTGGTACTGTCGAATTCACAAATTATGAATTACTGAAAAGTAGAAAATAAAACAACTAAATAGCGGCGTATGATACGCCGCGGGTCGGATCGTACAGAATAATACATTCAATAATCAAGGGAGTACGGTTAACTCTTCCTACAAACAGCTGATCGAATACTTACAAGGTTGAACGAAGAAACATTTTCACTATCAGTAGCAGCTGCAACACAACAACACCTGCACAGTGCTTCCGTTCAATAAGAGTGCTGAACAGTACTGTGCACCCATCTAATTTTTTCCGAATGAGCAATAATCCTGTTAACTGCTCAATTAAAATTCAGTAGGCTATAGAACAGGTTCGGTGCCACATATCTGGGCTTATGGTGGTGCTTCATATCTCAAAATAGGTTAGGGTTTTATTAGGTCTAAACCGGTCCTGCTCAGTGTTTCTTCCATACTTTTTTTTTCTCCGGGGGGGGGGGGCACTTGAAATTTTCGGGGGGAGGGGCGGTAGACTTTCTTCGGGGGGGGGGGGGGGGCGGACACTGTTAAAAGTATATATTTTCTATATAAATTATATACATTTCATTTCGTTCGGGGGGAGGGGCGGTAGAATTTTTTCGGGGGGGGGGGGGCAAACCCCCCCCCCCCCCGAAGAGATGCCTGGAAGAAACTCTGGCCCTGCTTCCAATGGGTCGCAACTTGTTGGTCTGACCCAGCTGACAGTACGCCTGCCACCCCCCCCCCCCCCCCCCCCATCCATCCTCACCGCGTAAAGTTTGGTTCTCGGTTGAGAAAGCGTAAGTACTCCCTCCATATTTTCAAACGTATTACAAAAAAAACAACAACATAGACTTTAGTTGTATAGCAAAATAGTACGGTTGTAACGTAAAAGAAGCACGTTTAAAAAAGAGTATTCTTATCCGTGTTATTGTCAGTGCATTCAAATGTCACCGAGTATAAGGACATATAACGAAAATAAGGACATATAAAACGATGGTGACTTCGATAGACGGGCATACATGTAACGATGTTGTGTATACTGTTTGACAAGCTTGTTAAAATTAAATTTAAAATGCGTGCTATTGTTTGAGTCGAGTATATTTTTTAAATTCCAGTTCAATAAATTTTCTTGTTCTCAAATGTGTCACCGTTTATGCAAATGCAGAGGCGTAGCGACCCTTCCCGGTGCCCGGGGACACACTTTTAATTTGGCGACCCCCCCCCCCCCCCTCAAACTTTCGATTTGCACCCCCCCCCCTCCCCCACCCCCCGCAAACTGCTAAAATGCAGCTAAAATGACATTTCAATTTGGTTTTAAAACCCATTTTGGCGCCGCCTAAGGTCAGCGCCCGGGGACATATATACCCCCTTACCCCCCCCCCCCCCCCAATCGCTACGCCTCTGTGCAAATGCCCTACTATAGAGCGGGTTTTGTGTTGTTATTATGTATGAACTAAAACACCATACTGATCACAACAATTATAAAAAAAATTATTTACATCAGATCATAGAAGGTTTAGATATTTTTAACGAAAAATTAAAATGTTATACAGATACTAACAAAACGAAATTATAATATAGCGTTAAGTTTATGTGTATTAAAGAAACAACAGTATGATGTTATACAGTTTTCAACTAAAAACATTAGGGATTATACTAATGGAAATAAATTTAAAAAACAACAACTCAAATTTCAAATGAAAGGCTTTTATTAACTGAGTCAAAATCTGTGTTAAACGTTGAAACCTAGTAAATTTATTTATAATGGTTATTAAAATACAGAAAAATACCAAAATTAAAATCCATATATAATTGTAATTATAAGAAAAATCATCTTTAAAAGCAGTGGCGTAGCGAGGTCGGGTGTCACCCGGTGCGGCCCTTAATGGTGTCACCCCCCAGAGGCGTAGCAACCCTTCTTCAAGTTTTCCATTTGCACCCCCCCCCTCAAACTTTCGATTTGCACCCCCCCTCAAGTTTTCGATTTGCACCCCCCCCCCTCAAGTTTTCAATTTGCACCCCCCCCCTCAAGTTTTTCTCTCTATATTTTGCTATTTTTTGCCTTGGTGTCACCCCCCTAAATGGTGTCACCCGGTGCGGTCCGCACCCCCCGCCCCCCCCCCCTCGCTACGCCCCTGTTTAAAAGTATAAATAGAACATCTCTGTACATAGGATTAAATTATTAAATTATATTAAAAAAATATTCGTACATCCGTAGTTAAAGACATGTCGCATTTGTTTCGTTTATATTCACAGCTAAAGTAAATATTTTAAATATAACTTTAGCAACTAAAACACTCTAGAGCCATGTAGTCCAAATCTAACACTTTAATGACTATTTTTTAGTATAATGACATCATTTTAATCTAGTTTGTACTTATAATATTCTTCACTCAACCAATTGTAAATTTAGGGATTCAGAATGTCTAAAAGCTGGCCAATTTTCTAATAGTAATTTAGCTCAAAGGAAACCGGTGTTTTATCTTTAAGATAGCCTTTTCAATAACAGGCATACGTAGGATATATAATACTGTCTGTATACATGGGCTAATTTGTATTTAACACAATATAAAAGTATTTGAGTTTCTTTATTAAAATGTATTTAAAAAATAAACAATATTTTTAGTTTTTAGTTTAAAAAAAAATACATAACCTTATGCGCTTCAATTTGAATGTATACACGTTCACTAGAACAGTAGATGTTAGTTACTTCCCATCATAATATTTAATTCACCAAGGGGAAAAATATCTAGAAAGTGTTTACAAATAATATTACAGAAAATCTTTAAGGAAAAATCAACATCAACATAAAAATTATTACTTTACATTAAAATATATATTAATGTTTAAATAACAATTTTGATCTCCATTTAAATTTTACTTACACAAGTCTAATATTTCATTTTTATTACAATTATAAAACAAACATTTCACCCCAAGCAAATGTAAGTATTTGATTTTTTATTAAAAAAAACGTTTCAGCACAAACCGACGCTAGAACAGTAGCAGTTGGGTATCAATAGAAACATTCTTGTTCTTGACTACACTTTTATTTTAATCCTCTGTTGTTTAAAAAAATCGAAGAGAATCCAAAGATTTACGAATTTCACTCCACTACTATGTTTGATTTGATGCGCCCCATTGTGCTGAACAAGATAATCATTGATCATTTTCCTTAATCCCAATTTTATTTCAGCTCCACTTCCTCAGCCCACCACAGATAATCATTGATCATTTTCCTTAATCCCAACTTTATTTCAGCTCCACTTCCTCAGCCCACCACAAGGAAAAAAAACCTCGAGCCTCCATTTAATTACCCATTTGCATTTTCATGTTTTAAAAAAATTTGTAATTATTAAAGTTTGCATTAGATCCATTTACAAGTAAACGATCTTAAATAAATGAAAGTAGGCTTGGAAAGAAGTATTACTATTTTATATTTGTTTCAGCATTCACAAACCGATCATGAAAATGTAATACTAAAGCGAGCATGACAAGGTAAACCGACACGGTAAATTATATGTCCGAGGCAAAAAATTGCCTACAAACTTCAACGTGCTTTCCTATTAACGAAAATAGAGTACTAAAAGGAGAGATTACTTAATATTGTATTTTGAGAAAAAAAAATAATGTTCAATTATTGGTAAAAACCTGACAGAACACCCACTTTCCAACCAGACTGTATATGGCGCAAATGAGATAGAGTTCATATTCTTTTCATGACCTCGGTATATGAAGAGATGGTATTGTCAACACAACGAGCAACCGTCTTTCCTTTCCCTAACGTAAGTCGGGAAACTATCAAAGCGAGATGGAGTCGGGAAACTCAGAACCAGGTGGAGTCGGGAAACTATCAGAACGAGGTGGAGTCGGGAAACTCAGAACCAGGTGGAGTCGGGAAACTATCAGAGCGAGGTGGAGTCAGAGACAAGCTACGGATTGAGTTAGAGATCTGAACTTGAGACCATTGGATTAGCAGCCGTGTGCTCTACCATTCGACCACGAGAATTGAAGTGAATTAGATAACTAGAGTTGGTAACGTAAAGTGCAGCGATAATACATCTGACATTCAGCTGAACTTTAAGCCTTGCCCGGTGACGTAAAATAAAATGCAGTTGTCGCTCGCTAGTAAAAAGAAACTTCAAAGTTTAGTTTTAAAATTTCAGAAAATAAATATTATTTTAAAAATTAAATTTTAAGTGAGCTCCACTAAACTTTCTACATTCTAATAAACATTTAAATATCTTCTGTAAATCTACGTTTTGACAAAAAATACTGTAATTTTATTGTAGATATTCAAACAGTAATGTTCAATCGCAAAATAACTAGTACAAGAGTAACATTTCTTTTGTAATCAGTAATTACCCTCCCCTGTTCTCTCAGTTGAAGATGGTATAATGTGAGGCATCATTTAGGCAAGCCATCTGGAGTTTCTCTACTGTTGCTGGGGCGTCTACGAGAAAGGATTATTTGTATAAATTATATAAATGTCTAAACTACACATAGGCATACGCATACACATACACACACATATACATATGTATATATGTATATATGTATATATGTATATATATATATATATATATATATATATATATATATATATATATATATATATATATATATATATATATATATATATATATATATATATATATACAATATATATATATATATATATATATACATATATATTACACGCTAATGTAGATTTTATAAAGGAAGTGTAAAGGGCAGTAACTCACGTAAAGGAAACCAGCCATGTTGACCTATTTCCTCCCTTGCCGCCTCCACTGCCCTCTTGAGAGCAAACAATGGGCACGAGCCCTGAGCCACCGGGGTTTCACCTACAGCTGATGACAAAACAAAAACTCGAGCTTCACCTGACAGTTCAATAAAACGATCTTTTTTCTCTTAGATATTTTATAAACACGATAGTATTTGCTTTCGTTTTTATTGTTGTGGAACTCCCTGAGTCAAGTTGGTTTAAACACTGCCTTCAAACCCAGCACCTTTACTGAGTAAGGTTCATATGTACCCTACCCACCTTCCGAACCCAGCAAACTTATAAAGTCCGTTTGTTTTGAAACCTGCCTACCCTCTGCTTACACTAAATAGGTTAATATTCTATGAACCCTGTCCACCTGGTGAACCCACCTGGTGAACCCAGCCGACCTTTTGAGCCCTGCCTACCTTTTGAACCCTGCCTATCTTATGAACCCAGCCTACCTTATGAACCCTGCCTACCTGATGAACCATGCTTACCCTTTGAACCCTGCCTACCTTATGAACCCTGCCTACCTTATGAACCCTGTCTACCTTATGAACCCTGTCTACCTTATGAACCCAGCCTACCTTATGAACCCTGCCTACCTGATGAACCATGCTTACCCTTTGAACCCTGCCTACCTTATGAACCCTGCCTACCTTTTGAACCCAGCCTACCTTTTGAACCCTGCCTACCTTATGAACCCTGTCTACCTTATGAACCCTGTCTACCTTATGAACCCAGCCTACCTTATGAACCCTGTCTACCTTATGAACCCTGCCTACCTTATGAACCCTGTCTACCTTATGAACCCTGCCTACCTTTTGAACCCAGCACACCTACTGGGTTTGGCGAGTTCCGGAGAAATTTGATGTTGAAGACAATAGGCAGATCTTTTGGCATTGGGGGCTTGTAGTTCTAGACCGTAGACGAGAAATTTCAGAAATTTTAAATTCTGGTAATAAAGTCTTAAAGCTGCAATACTAAACATCCTAATGCTTAAATACAATTCTAAATAAATCATTTTAGGAAAATGTTGAGAAAAAGTATGACTCAACGCAAAGTCAAGTCAAAAGTCACAAGTCAAAAGTCACAAGTCAAAAGTCACAAGTCAAAAGTCACAAGTCAAAAGTCACAAGTCAAAAGTCACAAGTCAAAAGTCACAAGTCAAAAGTCACAAGTCAAAAGTCACAAGTCAAAAGTCACAAGTCAAAAGTCAACTTACCCAGGTTCCATCAGTCAGCACTTTGCCACTAACTGGGTCATGTGTCAGCCCCTCTAATAGGAAAAGCCCACAGCCCATGTTAAAAGCCCCTTCTAGTTGACCAACATCCAGCTGAGGATTCAAACTACAGACACAAATGTAACGATATTTTATTAGTAAGAGAATCAATAGAGTTATAAAGCAAAAAAAGTTACAATTGAAATTTGAGAATTGTTTCAATAAAAACGCTAGAAATAAACATGTTTCTTAGTTAATGTATTAACCAAGATTAACAACACACCAGAAACAAATGATGGCACTACCTTAAGTCACAACCAGAATAACCAACACTCCATAACACAATAAAACCAGCCAAATTGATCACTCAACAATTAATTCACAAATAAGATAACCAACACAGCATAACACAATAAAACCACCCAAATGGATAACTCAACAATTAATTCACAAATAAGATAATCAACACAGCATAACACAATAAAACTAGCCAAATGGATAACTCAACAATTAAGTCAATACCAGAATAACCAACACACATAACACAATAAAACCACCCAAATGGATCACTTAACAATTAATTCATCACTAGGATAACCAACACAGCATAACACAATAAAACCACCCAAATGGATCACTTAACAATTAATTCATCACTAGGAGAACCAACACAACATAACACAATAAAACAAGCCAAACGAGTAACCCAACAAAGGGCGACAACTGACCTGGTGCCACAGTCGTAGAGGTAATCGACCTGCAAGATTTGGTACTGCCCAGTCAGGACGTCCAGTTCCACCTCACAGCAGCTGACGCTGTAAGCGTTGTACGCTGGTATAGCATCGCCAGCTTCCGGCCTGAGGGTGAAGGGGGGGGGGGGTAAGCATTCAGATAAAGTTACTGACCTCGAATGTACTTCTTTAGATGTTTAATTAAATTATATTAACACACGACACAAGATTAGTGTTAAAAATAATCAAAGTTTAACTGTACGTAAACCAGTCTAACTTTAGCTAGGAAAGTACAACTCCAGCTACGCAAGTTTAACTCTATATAATGAGGTTGAACTCGCGCTAATTAAGTCGAATTTTAGCTAGGCAAGTACAACTCTAGCTAGACAAGTCTAACTAGCTGGGAAAGTCTAACTCTATCTAGGCAAGTCTAACTAGGAAAATCTAACTCTATCTAGGCAAGTCTAAATCTAAGTAGGCTAGTCTAATTATACCTAGCAAGTAGAACTCTAGCTAGCCAAGTCTAACTAACTAGACAAGTCTAACTATCTAGGAAAGTCTAAATCTATCTAGGTAAGTCTAACTAGGCAAGTCTAACTCTATCTATTCAAGTCTAACTATGACTAGGCAAGTCTAACTAGGCAAGTCTAACTCTATCTAGGCAAGTCTTACTCTATCTAGGCAAGTCTAACTCTATCTACGCAAGTCTAACTAGACAAGTCTAACTCTAGCTAGACAAGTCTAACTCTAACTAGGCTAGTCTAACTCTATCAAGGCAAGTCTCCTACCAGTATTGTGCCGTGAGATTGACGCCACTACCATACGCCGTGGACACAAGTTCCTGCCATGTCGGGTCTTTGAGCTTGGCTCTGATTGGTGCCAGACGTTCTAGCAGCTTCTCGCAGCTTTTGATGACCGCCTGGAGAGAAATCACGTCGTCCTTGACATTCATTTGTTGATAGATAAGCTTAGCAAATCGATACCCCCTCCCACATGCACTTGCAAAAACTGATGTCGCTAATTAATTTTTACTCATTTAATGACGTCATCAGTCCTGCGCAAGATGAGTACATTTTGATAACACAGATAGTGACGTCAACAATGTGATTCACACTTCCAGTGACGTCATATCCTGTTCACCAAGATGTGAGCATTACACCCAACTTAGTCACTTGCAGTGTCCTATTATGCTGACACATTGACGAGGACATGTCCTGCACATGCAGTCAGTGACGTCATGTCTTTAACACAATGACGTATGCAGTGACGCTCAGACATACAGTGACATCTTGTCATACTCACACACTCAGTGACGTTTTGTGTCGTCATACTCTGCCCTCCCATTGTGACGTCATATCCCCCATACATACCATGACGTAATATTACCCCTCTCACATCGTGACGTAATACCCCCTCACACACCATAACGTCATACCCCCTAACACACAATGACGACATATCCCCTCCTCTCACACCGTGACGTCATATCTCCCCTCAGTCACGTGACGTCACACTCACCAGACAGATGAGCTCAGAACACACGGACCCGCCTGTAAAATGTGAGTTGGCGTTGACCGTCGTGGACTTCTTGACTACTCTGATCTTCTCCACGGGGACGCCCAGCTTGTGGGCGCAGGTTTGGATGGCCTGTAAGGGAGACAACACGTTTCAAAATTTAAGGGGATCATCGCGAGAAAAAAAATCACCGAAATTCAGTTTTTTCGTTATAATGGTTGTCACACTTTTGGATTCTCTGCCTATTTGTTAATTCAGAATGTAACAACTTAAATAAGAAAAAAAAATTAAGTTTGAAAAAAAAATTATGACCCTATGTATGAATAAAAAAATGATCATATTTCTCCAATTTACAAGCACTCTACGAAATGTTTGACACCCGCTATCATATAGGATTTGTCATCATTGGAAAGCTGGATTTGACCTGTATGTGTTTACTGTATTTTTCGTCAAATCAGAAACACCCAAAGCTTTCAACTGGCTCTACAAATCATACAGAAATTTTATTTTCATGACCTCGGTTTTGTAAGTATTTTCTTTTTTTTTTTTTTTACACTAAAAAGCCAAATACATTTTTATGTATAATACAATTCCAACCATATTTTCAGTATTCATTTTTCATGTAATAATAAAGCTTTTGTCACGAGGGAATTAAGAGCTTTAGTAGAAAAAAGTTAATGGTAATAAAAATAAGCAATTCTTTCAAATTTTCGCATACTATGTGTTGTGCAGTTTTTCGAACCTAGTAGAATTAAGACCAGTTGCCCTATCAAAAAATTGTCTTGACGAAAGTTTTAATGTGTACTTAAATTTAGGCAGTGTATAATTCAATTGCTTTAATTGCATAAATAAAAACAACCTCATCGTTTTTAAAAGTGCCGAAAAATTCAAAACGGCGGGTGTTTTTTTTTCGGGTTTCCATGACAACCGAAATTGTTTATAAACTCTATTTTACTGTTCTTATATTTATGTACCAAATATGGTAAACGTTTTTTTTATAATCCTTTAGATGTTAAATTGTAAAAAAAAATAGAAAAATACAAATAGCATATCCACTAAAAATTGTATAGAGAGAAATGTTTATGTAGACTGGTTATATATTTTAAACTCGGGCATGTGGAACTGAATTTGGAGCAGTCGCTCAGAGGTAAGGGAGTAGGCCTACGTAACAGAGGCGTAGCGACCCTTCCCGGCGCCCGGGGACAAACTTTCAATTTGGCGCCCCCCCCCCCTCGGGAGCAAATTTTCAATTTGCACCCCCGTCATACTTTCGATTTGCAGCCCCCCCCCCCCTCTCCCCCCACCCCGCTCTCAAACTTTCGATTTGCACCCCCCCCCCTTCAAACTCTTTATAATGCAAAAATGCAGCTAAAATGACATTTTAATTTGTTTTTACAACCCATTTTGGCGCCCCCTAAGGTCGGCGCCCGGGGACATATGTACCCCCCTGCCCCCCCCCCCCCATCGCTACGCCTCTGCCTACGTAACTTTTTAAAGCTGGAACCAAAAAGGGAAAATATATCAATACGCCAGCTAATCAGAGCTAACTACAAGGGAAATAACCGAACATTTATGTCTAGTTTTCTATTGATGTAATTAACATCATTACAATTTAGGGATTATGTCGTTTAAATTATTGCATCAAATGATGATTAATGTTTTAATAAATATATGTGCTACTAAAAATAACAAAGAGCTTATTTAACTTTCATGCTTTTCTATTCATAACAATAACAACCATTTATCCGCTAATCTATAGCTCTGGTTAAATACATGTGGAAAAAGCTACATTTAATCTTGTAATGTATTCCTAAAACGCTAACATTTAACGATTTTAGACACACAATTTTTTAAAATAATTCTGCCTTAACTGATCGAAATAAAATTAATGACTCTTCAAAAAAAAATTAATAACAATAAAAATTAGACTTGTGTCGTGTGTGACAATTTTGATTAATCAAAAAAAATAATTTAAAAATTGTACTTGTGTCTTATAGTGGTTATCTTTATGTTTGCTCAACCACATAGATTTAGCACTGTGTAATGTGGGGAAAACAAACAGCTTTTTAAGATTTGGATCAACGTTTGGCTAGAAGCTACAGACGCTCATCATTTGGCACAAGAGACCCCATAACGAAATTACAGCATTATTTTCTTGTTACTCCCACTGACCCGTGACTTATCTATCTTAGTGTAAGTGACCCCCACTAAAGTGGGTCTCGCCCTACCCTGGTGTAAGTGACCCCCACTAAAGTGGGTCTCGCCCTACCCTGGTGTAAGTGACCCCCACTAAAGTGGGTCTCGCCCTACCCTGGTGTAAGTGACCCCCACTAAAGTGGGTCTCGCCCTACCCTGGTGTAAGTGACCCCCAATAAAGTGGGTCTCACTCTACTATGGTGTAAGTGACCCCCCCCCCCCTACTAAAATGGGTCTCGCCCTACCTTGGTGTAAGTGACCCAACTAAAGTGGGTCTCACCCTAACTTGATGTAAAAGACCCCCACTAAAGTGGGTCTCACCCTACCTGGGTGTAAGTGACCCAACAAAAGTGGGTCTAACCTTACCCTGGTTTAAGTGACCCCACTAAAGTGGGTCTCACCCTAATTTGATGTAAAAGACCCACACTAAAGTGGGTCTCACCCTACCTTGGTGAAAGTGACCCCCACTAAGTGGGTCCCACCCTACCCTGATGTAAGTGACCCCACTAAAGTGGTCCCACCCTACCTTGGTGTCGATGCCCTGACCCATGTCGATGGCACCGTGGGCGATGACGACACTTCCGTCAGCGTGGTAGATGATGACGCTTGTGTTAAAGGACAGCCAGGTGTAGGTGAAAGCGTACCTGTTGGGCATCACGTGCAAGCCTCGCTTTCGCCAGCGGTTGTTCTGGTGAGTAAACACACGCATGCAGGGTAAACATTACAGCACTTACGCACAGGTGCATAAAGAATTCATTTGTACACATATACACGCACACGCGCACAAAGTCTACATTTGTGCGCTCAGAATTATGCAAACAAAGTAGACACTAATGCCAAACAGATACGCTCACACGTATAAAGAATTCATTAGTGCACTCATACACGCACACACGCACAAAGTATCCATCAATACACACAGACATATGCATACAAAGTATCCATTAATACACACATACATATACACACAATGTATACATTAATACACACAGACATATGCACACAAAGTATGCATTAATGCACACTGACACGCACATACACATAAAATAAACATCCAATTACACACACACGAACACAATTAAACACGCAAACAACGGTAAACATGCGTCTGAAGAAGTACACACATGACAAACAGTTCATAAAAGTTAAAGGAGGCTGAATTGAGGGTAATATAATGTGAAACTACTTATGTTATTTTGTTACAATTCAAGAAACAAACAGAGAGAAACTAAACCCCCTTCCAATTATATTATTTGAAAACTGTTGTATGGCCAAGCCTTGCCACATTGTTAACACATTATACAAACATGTATTTAATAACCATAACGTGAATTTATTTGTGATTTATCCAGTAAAATTTTGTTCAATAACTCATTACTTGGTTATATTGATTCATTGAAATGTTTTTACAAAATAAACATTATTATGACATTTTGTCGTTTTTAAATTTTACACCAGGAAACCAATTTCTAAAATGAAAATTTTATTCTTTAAAAAATATAATAATTATTTGCAATAATTATAATTATTTTAGATCACTGTTGCTTCTAGTAGGTTATTTTTCTGAAGGGACGAGGCTTGTTTACAGAGGCGCACCACCCCCTTTCGGCGCCCGGGACGAACTATCAATTCTGCCCCCCCCCCAATATTTATATATTAATTCACGTTAGCGAAAAAGGACCCACCCCCCCCCCCCCTCACATGTCACCATTGATAGTTTTTTTTTCCGTATCGTAGAGCCAAGTAGCATTCTATTTTTTTTTTAAATTTCGATTGTAATACACACCAAAATAAGCTTTTTATTTTAATATCATTTTTCTACCTAATTTGGCGCCCCCTAAGGTCGGCGACCGGGGCGGCCGCCCCACCCGCCCTATCTTACCTACGCCACTGACTGTTAAAGGACGCAGTCTATTGAAGAATCAGAACTACACTAACTTTGTTAAATTCCTCCACAGATTTTTTCCTCTCAGTGTACAAAATGTTCGCCTCCATTTGTTGAACCATCTGACGTATCAGGCACTGTTCTAGCACCATTCCTGACAGGGTTACCTGTGTTTGGTCAATAGTTACAGGTGAGGAGGGAATGTTTACAGGTGAGGATGGAATGTTTAGAGGTGAGGATGGAATGTTTACAGGTGAGGATGGAATGTTTACAGGTGAGGATGGAATGTTTACAGGTGAGGATGGAATGTTTACAGGTGAGGATGGAATGTTTACAGGTGAGGATGGAATGTTTACAGGTGAGGATGGAATGTTTACAGGTGAGGATGGAATGTTTACAAGTAACGATACAACAGTTGGAGGGGAGAACAGTAATAGGTTAGGTAGGTGAGTTTACTGTGACAGATTATAGTTTATAGGTAAGGAGAGAGCGGTT